AAACTTTTAAATTTTAAAAATTATATTAGTATCAACTAATTTAAAATTAAATCATAATAAATCACATAAATTTTTTTTAATATCTATTACTATATTTATTAAATTTAAATTTAAAACTTTATTTAAATAATATTTGTACCCAAATATATGACTTTATTTTATTTAAACTTTGTTTAAATCAAAAAATTAAATGATCAAATAACTCAAAAATCTCGTTTAAATGTCAAATCCTTGTCATATAACCATGACATGGCAATATTTTGCCATCCAAGCAGCCAAGCGGGTGTGTCCCAAACGGCAGTTAAGCCAGGCGATGGAGTCCCAAACGGCAGTTAAGTTGGCGTAAGAAGAAGGGCTTAATTGCTTTGATCTCAGAGTTCAAGGGCTTATATGCATCAATTAAAGTATAGGGGATTAACAGCGATTCTGGGGTTAGTTCAGGGTCTTAACTTATGGTTTTGCCAAGAAAAAAGAGGAAGTATTGACAATTGGCTTTCTTCTCGTCTATAACACGTTTCCTCACATGCAGAGTCCATTATTCTTGTTGTTGTGACACCATTGAACATACCAAATCATATTACTCAAATTTAATTAGAACAGAACGTGAAGTCACATATATCAATTATCAATTTTCATTTACTTATTTTAAATAAATAATAAATTCATTTATTTATCTATTTTTTTCTTACGTTAAAATTTATGTAAACCTAATATTTTCTTAAACTTATTAAGACTCTATTTAATATAATTGTAATTTTAACTTTTAAAATTTAAATAACAAATATTAAAAATAAAAATTTAAAATTATCAACTTATTAATATAAAATTTTAAAATAAGTATTCAAAACTCTAAATTTAATTAATTTATAAAATTTCTTTTTTTTTTAATTCTAAAATTCTCAATTTTTTTAAAATCAAAATCGAAACCACAAACTCAAAATCATATTTATAGTAAACGAAACTTAAGTTGTTCCCAATAGCCTAAAAACTTATTGTTGTACTCA